ATTTCTATACCCAATTGAGTCTGTATATTATTCCTTCTTTGAGTCAATTCTAATGAGAATAAGGTTCACTCACTCCCCTCACCTCCCTCCTCTTTCCCTCCACTGTAAAAGCTTTTTCTTGCCTCTTTCAAGTGAGATAATTTACTGCATTTTACCTCTCCCTTTCCTTTTCCCCTAGCACATTCCTCCTCCATTTTTTTAGATATCATCCCTTCATATTCAACTCATGCCCGTGCTCTCTGTCTGTATATATTCCTTCTACCTGCCCTAATAATGAGAAAGTTCTTATGAGTTACAAGTATCATCTTCCCATGTAGGAATGTAAACAGTTTAAAATTAAGTCCCTTATGATTTCCCTTTCCTGTTTAATCTCTTTATACTTCTCTCGAGTCTTGTATTTGAAAGTCAAATTTTCTATTCAGTTCTGGTCTTTTCATCAAGAATGCTTAAAAGCCCTATATATCATTGAATATCCATCTTTCCCCTGAAGGATTATACTCAGTTCTGCTAGGTAGGTGATTCTTGGTTGTAATCCTAGCTCCTTTTTTCCCTTGGAATATTATATTTCAAGCCCTCTGATCCATTAACATAGAAGCCACTATTGTTATCCTGATTTGTGGCTCCATGATACTTGAATTGTTTCTTTCTGGATGATTGCATTATTTTCTCCTTAACCTGGGAGCTCTGAAATTTGGCTGTAACATTCCTGGGAGTTTTCATTTGGGATCTCTTTCAGGAGGTGTGATTGATGGATTTTTTCAATTTCTGTTTTACCTTCTGGTTCTAGAATATCAGGGCAGTTTTCCTTGATAATTTCTTGAAAGATGATATCTAGGCCCTTTTTTTGATCATGGCTTTTAGGTAGTCCAATAATTTTTAAATTATTTCTCCTGGATCCATTTTCCAGGTGAATTGTTTTTCTAATGAGATATTTTACATTGTCTTCCTTTTTTTTTCCATTCTTTTGGTTTTGTTTGATTTTTCTCTTGATTTCTCATAAGGTCATTAGTTTCTATGTGCTTAATTCTAATTTTTAAGGAATTACTTTCTTCAGTGAACTTTTGTACCTCCTTTTCCATTTGACCAATTCTACTTTTTAAGGAGTTTTTTCTTCAGTGAATTTTTGTGCCTCTTTTTCCATTTGGCTAATTCTGCTTTTTAAACCATTCTTCTCCTCATTAACTTTTTGTACCTCTTTTACTATTTGGCCTAGTCTGTTTTTTAATGTGTTATTTTCTTCAGTATTTTTTGTATCTCCTTCACCAAGCTGCTGATTCGTTTCTCATTGATTTCTTGCATCACTCTCATTTCTCTTCTGAATTTTTCCTCTACCTCTTACTTGATTTTCAAAATCCTTTTTGAGCTCTTCCATGGCCTGAGACCAATTCACATTTTTCTTGGAGGCTTTGGATGTAGGAGCTTTGACTTTGTTATCTTCTTCTGAGTATGTGTTTTGTTCTTCCTTGTCACCATAGTAACTCTCTGTGGCCAGATTTTTTCTGTTTGCTCATTTCTTCAGCCTTTTTCTTCATTTCTTCAGACTTTTAACTCTTTGTTACGTTGGGGCTCTGCTTCCAGGGTGAAGGGGCACCATCCCAAGCTTCAGAGGTTTTGTACAGCTGTTTTCAGAGATGCTTCTAGGGACCTGTAACTTTTCAGTGTGATCTAAGGAGAGGTGTATTTACTATTCTCCTGGACTGTGCTCTGGTCTTCAAGTGACCATAAGCACTCTTTTCTACCCTGGAACTATAAAGAGGGTCCCTGCCCAATGTGGCCTCAAGTTCTGCTATACTAGTACTCTTCCTTGCCCTGCCCTGGGACTGCCACCCAGGGCTTCAACCAGGATCCAAGTATGGGCAAAGCAACACAGTCCTGCCTCAATGCTAGCGAGGAGATTCCTATAATCTCCTTCTGAGTAGTTGTTCAATGCCCTTACCATATATGGGCTGAGAGCTCCAGAAGCAGCAGCAGCTGGTGCTGCTTCTGATTCCATGGTTCCGAGGGCCTGCTCCTGTTTTAGTGGGGCCAGGGCTGTGCTGGAGTGGCCTGTGCTGGACTGTACTTCACTCTCACCCAGGTGTGCAGACTTTTCCTGCTGACCTTCTAATTTGTGTTTGGCTGGAAAATTATTTTACCCTGTCCTTTGTGGGTTCTGCTACTTCAAGAATCGTTTTATGCCATTATTTAAACATGTTCAGAGGGGTTTTGTGGAGAGCTTCACTGAGTCGCTGCCTTTTTTCTGCCATCTTGGCCCAAGTATCACTTTTGAGAAGAAATGCCCCAGTGCTTAGATAAGAAGGATGGGAAATGCTGCTGAATGTCAGACTCCTACAGATACTTCAAAGCTGAGTTTGAGTAGCAGGAGTCCAGGTTTACCTCTAGTCTTCTCACTTGACTCTGTCTAGAAGGTGGTATAGACTTCCAACTTCTCCGCCTGTTGCCTCTAAAATCAGCACATTTACTTTTCCTTAGGTCTGCTCAAGGACTATTTTTTGCCGAGGAATACAGAATAACACACTGGGTTTTAAGTTAAGGCGTGGGGGAGGAAGGAGGAAATAACATAAGATATCTTATTTAGAGGAGTGGAGAACCCTGGCTTTCAGTGAAAGCACAAAGGAGACATAACTTCATTGGTGTGACTACACTTTATTCAAGGGTATCAAAATTGAGAGGGTAATGATCCTTCTGGGCTTTGAAAATCCAGGAGTTTTGCCACCTTTTTGTCCTCATTGTACTACTACTCTGATGAATGTTGTGTATAACTGTGGGAAAGTATATTCTGGGCTTTAGGGAAAATGTTTTTTGTATCAACTCTTTTTATGATACCATCTTAGTAAATGCCTTTGCTAAATACTAGTTAAGTCTACTCACTGACTGTTAATTGGAAGCAAACCAATGGGGGCTTGTGAGCTACCATAGTGGGAATAGTCACCTGCAGTGTTATACTGATGATTATTCTGATGATGGTGATAATGATAGCTACCATTTACGTAACGCTTACTTTTTGCTAGGCACTGTGCTAAATGGTTTACAACTATTATCTCATTTGATCCTCACAATAAACCTGGGAGGTAACTGCTATTAATATCCCCATTTTACAGAGGAGTAAACTGAGGCAAATGGCTGTTAAGTGACTTGCCCAGGGTCACGCAGCTAGTAAATATCTGAGACTGGATATGAATTTAGAACCAGAGAGCCACCTGTTAGGGGCCCAAATCTGTGAGTGAAAGTGAAAGTTGGAGGAAATGATCAAGAGGAGGTATTACTTTTACATGTAAGAGATTAATATTAAGTTTAATTGTGTTGTTTCCAGATTTACTTTTTGTCCATATTAGAAATTTGTACATTTGCCCATCTTTAGTTCTCCATAATTCCTGAAAGATGAGTGATTCAGCAATCCCATATACAAGTTTATCCAATATTTGGAAGGGAAGAGAATAAGCATTGACATAATATCTACTATGTGCCAGGCACTGTTCTAAGAGCTTTATAAATATCTCAGTTGATACAACAATCCTTCAAGGCAGATTCTTTTATTATCTCTATTTTACAATTGAAGAAACTGAGGCAAACAGTGGTAAAGTGATTTGCCCAAGGTCATACAGCTAATAATTGTCTGAGGTTGCATTTGGACTCAGGTCTTCGTTACTCCAGGCCCAATGTTCTAATCCACTGTGCTACCTAGCGACCCCTAACAGTAGCTGCCACTGGGCATAATTTGCCTGACTAAAGGGGCTTGAGAGGCAGCTAGCTACTTCCCTTACCATCTCTTCACTTATTTGAGTCTTCAGTTTCTTGCTTCCCCATCTAATACCTTTTCCATTATACCACAGAGACTCCTTCCTTTCTCTAGCGCAAAATAGCAAGACACTTTAGATGGTAATTCCATTGAGAATATAGATTTAGGAGTAGAAAAGACTATAGAAGTGATTGAAAGCCCTCCAGGTTTACAGATGAAGAGATAGAGACCTAGAAAGATGAAATTTCTTGACAAATGAGGGAGATAATAAGAAGCTGAGATGGAAATCAAACCTAGGTCCTCTGATTTCAAATCCTATCTTTTTTTTTTCCTCCCTCCACTGTCACTCTCTCCCCTTGAAAGGGACCTGCTAAGTGTGGAAATATTTGGGAATTACAAAAGTACTTATTCCTCAGATTGCCACCCCAGAAATCACAATTACAGAAATGATTTGATGAGTGCCAGCATGATTCAGCTGCACACTGCCAGACTTGGAGTCAGAAAACCTGAGTTTCAGTCCCAGCTCTGCCTCTTATCACCTGTGTGACTTTAAGTCACTTAAACTCTGTGGGTCTCATTTCTTTCATCTGTAAAATGATGAAGTTTAGATGAACTTTACATTATTTTTCTTATTTTTAGGATTACCTGGCTATATTGATATATGATACTTGGGGACATTTTCTTTTGTGAATTCATAAACTTTAGATCCTTTAAGGCACCATGTGTGAACTCTACCCCATCTTAAAATTGATTCCTTTGAAATGCATCAGATCTCCTCCTGGAATTTCACGGTGATATTGATTTAATAGGAATATGGTGAATATATCAGATCTCAAGGAGACTATATCTGATAATTTATATTCAAACCTACAAAGATCATTCTGATTACTCTTTGGCAAAAGAAGATTCCTGAAGTGAGAGGCTTAATTCACCCAAGCAACCCCTGGCATAATTTCTTTTGATTTGAGCACAGCCTCTCCTACAAACACACAAACACATAGCTTTCCTCTTTTGTTTAAGTTTTTATCCCCCCCTCCATCAATACAAGTTTCATTGCATAACCTAAAAAATCCTAAGCCCCAAGTCAATTTTACCAGTTTCTTTTTTTCACAGACTGTGTTTGTTTTTCTTTCTCTCTTTGCAATGTCTTTTCTCTTGATTTGAAACCACATTTGGGTACAGACATTCAGGAGGTAGTCACCCATTGTATTGAGCATTCTTATTTTTTAAACTTTTCCAGCTCTGGTCTATTTCACATAGACTTCTACCAGTTGAAAATGGCATTTTCGACCTCAGCCAAGTGTAGGTTATTAGGTTATGAGTGCCAAAAATGATGAGTCGTCTCCACACTTCTTCCAGAGTGAATAAAAGCCAGATTGTAAAATAATTACAATTTCTTGAAGCGGAGCCAGCAACACAACCCTGATCCATCCATCTTCATTAATTTGTATATAGTTCTTATTTTCACAGAACAAACTTTCGGAAGGTACTCACATGGGAATGCTGAACCAGCTGCACAACTTTTATTTTGAAGAAAAAAAAAAGTTGAGCCTCAGAGCAGCATGTTTTAAAGACGGGGAGGGACTTAGTGTTTCAGAACTCTTGACCAGCGTGTGGAAGAAGTGGGCTCATGGCTGGAATAACCTAGGGTGTTTCTACCTGGCTAATACTTGGCAGCTTCCCACTTTCCTTGTTCCATTTCTGAGGGTCCGGCGCACTTTTCTTGCCCAGATCAACTTGACTCTCCAGTACTGTTTTGCACACCCTACTCCGTGGGGGAGTGCAGCAACGTGCCTGTCTTATGTGGCCTCTATGGCCACATTGCTCAGCTGCCAGGGAGAGAGGAAGTTTTCCCCAACTATCAAAAAAAAGGAGAAAAATCTCTTCTTTTCCCTGTGCTCTTAGCAGCACAGTAGCAAAGGACAATCTCCTCCTTGGATTTTTTTGGAGTGCTTTCCAGGAAGAAGTTAACTCTCCTCCTTTAAATGGATGACCATGTTACCATCAAGAAAAAACATCTCCAAAGACCGATTTTTCGGTAAGTGATGCTATAGCTGCCAAATGCAATAGCTTCTCTCTGTGTGTTAATTCAGGGCTTTTTGGAGCCTAAAGCAAAGCGAAGTAGCAGAATGTGTCAGAAGTTTTAACATTCTGTTACAGCGCCCCACAGTAGATGGGCTTGCAATTTAGACTGGTAACTAAATTAATTCAGGACTCATGGACAAGAATTGTGTACACATTCTCTGCTATCAACTTTACCAGGGATTTTTTCTCTCCCCTTAATCTTAGCTGGGCATTAGGAGGAATGGCAAAGTGCTTAAGAAACTTTTGAAACGTTATGCAATCCCTTGTTATTTTCCAAGGTTTCACAGTCCTCTAAATGCAAAACATTGTTCTTGGTTCATTGAACTGATTATGTTCAGGAGGCAATGTTTCAACGTCTGGAATGCTACACCTTCCCGAGGTGCTCGCTTGGTGTGTGGGGATAGGTTCTTGACGTCCACAGCCCTCAGAACTGCTGTGTAGATTTCACATCCCGTGTAGGTGGAAACACCCTCATTTCAGGGTAACAGAAGGAGATTTCTGGAATAGTGAAGATGTAACTAGTTAGTTGGTCGGGACTAAACTTTCTTGGCTGTTTGTTTTAGGTGATGACAGCGGTTTCATTGATGTGTGTCTTGTCTTGGTTTTCTATGCATTTTAAATGCCGGATCTGCATGGTCTCTTAGTACCTGAGTATTGAATGACTGGGAGTACTCCTGGACTTGTATTTCTGACAGGAATTGTTTCTGATCCTTTAGAACATGAGTCAAAACAAATAAAAACTGGAATAAGCCTGAGATATTTCACTCTTTTACTTTCTAAACAATAATATCATAAACAGGATTATAAGAATAGTGGAGATAATAAAATCCAAATTGCAGCTTACAAGTGAGTGATATAGAATTAATTATGGATAATAGGTTTTCCCAGAAGGAATTTCAAGGAGCTCAGATTAGTAGAAAGTTTGAAACTGGACCATGTGGAGCTGAATACTGTATCACAAATAGCCATGCCTGGATAATAATATGTGTATAATAACTGAAACAATGGATGAGAGTGAGTGGCACATTGTAAACACTTAATAAATGCTTGTTTCAGAGGTTGGAAATGTATTGCATTTAACTAAATACCACTTATTATAGTCAATATATTGCAAGTAAATATAGATGTGTTATATGTATACATGCATATAAACACACACACACACATATGCAAATCTCATACAACCATAGAAACAGACTAAAATTATCTATCCACCTGAGAGAGCTAGCACTAGGCTAGAGCTGTAGGATGGAGCACTTGCCTGGAGTGAGGAAGACCTCAGTTCAAATCTAGTCTTAGGCACTTAGCAATTGTGTGACTCTGGGAAAATCACTTAAATTTTCCTGCCTTCAGTTTCTTCATCAGTAAAATGGGGCTAATAATAGCACCTACCTAGTAGGGGTTGTTGTGAGGATAAAATGAGATATTTGTACAGTGTCTAGCACATAGTAGTACTTCATAAATGCTTGTCCCATTCCCATTCTCATCTATGTTACCTGGAATTTACTAATCCATCTGTCATGTCATCAAATCAAAAGAGACTTCTAAGCCTTTCTCCTGGTTAATCTGTTCCTTCTTGGAAACACATGTATGGAAACAATGGATAAGGAAGATATCATTCTTTCTTAAAAGGAAGTATGAGCAATGCGCTAGAATGATTCTTAGAAGAATTTGTATGGTGCGTCCCTTGATTCTGTCTTGTGCCCCCCCAACTCCATTCCTTCTACCAAAGGACTCGAGTCTGCTGTAATTACATTTTTAGTTACATAAATCCACAGTTGCCCTCAGAAATATGACACAGTTGTGACTCTTAGCTCTTGATCTACTTTTCATTCATCTGTGTGCCCAATTGAACATTATTAGATATTTAGGTGCCTGAGGCAGTTGGGGCGGGTATTGCTTAATTAATTCCTCATTTATCATCAGTCATTTTCAGTCATGTCTGTCTCTTTCTGACCCCATTTGGAGTTTTCTTGGCAAAGATACTGGAATGGTTTTTCATTTCCTTCTCCAGCTCAATTTACAGATGAGGAAACTGAGGCAAACAGTTTTAAGTGACTTGCCCAGGATCACACAGCTAGTAAGTATCTGGGGACAGATTTGAAGATGAGTCTTCCTGACTCCAGTCCCAGAGCTCTATCCACTGAGCCATCTTATCCATAAGCCCTTTTTCATTCTTTGGTCTCCTAGAAGTAATGAACCTGATTCTCACAGGATCTCCTCCCCCTCTCACCAAAATTTATAATAATAATAACCAAAATTTGTAAACCATTTTAGGGCTTACAAAGCACTTATCCCCCAACCCCAACATTATGATGAAGTTAATATAGGTTATCTCCATTTTGCAGATAAGAAAACTGAGTCTAGGAAAGGTGAAGTGATTTGCCCATGGTCTCACAGAAAATGTTAGAAATGTAAGAACTATAATCTATGTTTCCTGATTCCTGGTCTAGCATTCCTTCTACTGTACCACAATTTACCCATTGCAAATACTGTTAGTATACTACTTGCTAGGTTGAACTTATTGTTTTCGTTTCCTAAATAGCACTGTAGTGGTCTGGAAAAATTACTTTACATTTCAAAAATGCCGCACTGACAATAGAATAATTTAAACCTGTCATGGAAAGAAACTCTTGACTGAAAAAATCACCTTGGGATGGATATGGGTGGATAAATAAGGATGAGTGAAATGGGTTGTTAATTATATGTGGTGGTGGTGGCAGTGGAGTATGAGGAGAAGGAGGAAGAAGAAGAGGAGAAGGTGAAAGAGGAGGAAGAAGAGAAAAAAAAGAGGAGTTGGAAGAAGTAGAGAAGGAGGAAGTGAAAGAGGAAGAAGAGAAGGAGGTGGCAGAAGTGAAGGAGGAGGAGGAAGAAGAGGAAGAAGAGGAGGAAGAAGAGGAGGAGGAGGAAGAAAAGAAGGAGGAGTAAGAGGAAAGTGTCTTGTAAGATCAGAGTAGCCAGCTATGATTCCCTGGAGAAAGTTTAAGGCTAGTCTCTGGTAATAGAGCAACTTTCACTTCCTGTTTGTTCCCTCAAGGGTGTACTGCATGCCCATCAGATACTCACTGGCTTAAAATAGCTGCTGTGTGCTCCCTTGAGGCCCTAGGGACATGCTATTCAGAGTTTAGGCATAACTGGGAGGAAAGCTCTATTTGGCTTTGTCACCAAACCTACCCAGGTTCCCTGTTCCCTCATGGTACCCTCCCTTACCAGAACTGTAACACATTTTTCCAGGCCCTTGTATTATCAAATTTGGAACTGCTTCCGGCACATAAGGGGTCAATATGATGGGATTGCTCTCTCACATACACACACATATACTGCATAAATATATATATATATATATATGTATGTGTGTACATACTTTGCTGCTATTTAATCATTTTTCAGTTGTGTGTGACTCTTCATGACCTTATTTGGGGTTTTCTGGGTAAATATACTGGAGTGGTTTGCCATTTCCTTCTCCAGCTCATTTTGTCCAATAGGAAACTGAGGCAAACAAGGTTAAGTGACTTGCCCAGGGTCACATAGGTAATAAATGTCTGAAGTCAGATTTAAGTCACAAAGATGAGTTTTCCTGACTCCAGGACTGGCACTCTATCCACTGTGCCACCTGGCTGTCTCTGTGTATACATATACATATATATGTATACACATCCACATACACACACACACACACACATATGTATATATATAATTTTATGTTTTACAAAGACTTTTCCTCACAAACAGGCCTACAAATTAGGTAATTGAATGATTATTATTGCCATTTTTCAGCTGAAGAAAATGAGGGTCATGTAGGTTAAATTATTTGCCTAACGTCACAGGGCTAATGTGCCAGCGCTGAGTCTAAAACTCATCTCTTTCCCTACCATGACATATAATGGAGGAGCCATTGGAAGGAAGCCAAGAACCTGGAACACGCGAGGGGCAGCTGAGGGCAGGGCTTAGAACAGTCTCTTAGGATGAAGGACAACTAAGATGGCTCACTTCATGGGCAAGGCTAAGAATCCAGTTCTTAGAAGTCAAAGGCCACATTGAGAACAGGGGTGGTACATACCTGCAATCTCTGGCAGATCACTTAAACTTGGGAGTCCTGAGTTATAGTGGGGTCAAAGCAGATGCATGTACCAAGCCTGCCACCAGTACGATGAGCCTCCCGATAGCGGGGAGGGAACCAGGCTGCTGGCACAGTCTGGAAAAGGAACAGGTCAAAGCTTCCCTGCTGATTAGTAGTGAGATTGGGTTCATGAGTGGCCCCTGCACTTTTAGCCTTGGTGAGGTCAGGGAAGAACCATCTCAAAAAAAGGAAAAATAAAGGAAGAAGCAAAGGGACAGCCAAGGAGTTAATCCACAAGGAAGAGGCCAAGGCATCACTATTAGAAAGAGACCAACACTGAAATAACGACTGAGTCATGGGTTCGGAAGTCTGTGGACAAAGCTCAGATTAGATATTGCGTCATGGAAACAGCTCTAGTCCTGGAATCAGAAGGCAGATTCAAGTCCTGGCTCTGACACTTGCCAACTTTGTGATCCTGATTAAGTTCCTTAACCACTCTGAGTTTCTCTTACTTTATCTGTAAAATGGGAATAATAATCCCTGATTCACCTACCTCAACGGATGTTATGGGGAAACACTTTGTAAATATTAGAAAGCTGCAAAAAATGTGAATTACTATTACTATAATTATACTAAAGAAGTTAAGAGCCAGAGACTAGGTGAGCCAGGGTCTGTGCCTAAAGGTAGGCTTAATGAAGTCAAATCAAAGTACTTATTAAGCACCTTCTAGGTGCCAGGCAATGTGTTAATCACTGGGGATGCAGAGAAAGGCAAAAGACAACCCCTGCTTGCTGGGACCTTATAGTCTGATGGGGGAGACAATAGGTAAATAAATATATACAAACAAGATATAAACAGCATGAAGTGGGAGGTAGTGAACAGAAGGAAGCACT